GCTTTCAGATAAACCAATTTATTCATTGTTCATGAGTTACATTTTGACCTTGTCAATTCACTTAATAAGAGTGACTGTTTTCTTTTCAAATATGATCGTATGTGTGCTAATTACTTACCTTACTCATTATATGTATGTAACTTGTTTTTGTTTGACTATAAATATCGATTCACGTTTAGTTAAATCAAGTTGACTCATTCGCATTCTCAGATGTTAGGGCGCGGATCGGCAAAGCAAGAGCAGCATATTTACAACTGAAGAACATCTGGAACTAAAAACAATTGTCTGTCAATCAACATCAAGATCAGAATTTTCAATACAAATGTCAAGACAGTTCTACTGTATGGGGTGGAAACCTGGAAAACTACGAAAGCCATCATCCAGAAGATACAGGTATTTATTAGCAGTTGTCGACGCAAGATACTTGGTATCCATTGGCTAGACACTATCAGCAACATTCTACTGTGGGAGAAAACAAATCAGATTTCAGTGGAGGAAGAACTCAGGAAGAAGAGCTGGAAGTGGATTAGGCACACATTGAGGAAATCACCCAAGTGTGTCACAAAGCAAGCCCTCACATGGAATCCTGTAGGCCAAAGGAAAAAAGGAAGACCAAAGAACGCATTACGCCGAGAAATGGAGACAGACATGAGAAGAATGAACAAAAATTGGAAAGAACTAGAAATGAAGGAGTAGGTCAGAGTGGATTGGAGAATGCTAGTCGGCGGCCTGTGCTCCACTGGGAGCAACAGGCGTAAGTAAATAAGTAAGTCATTCGCATTCTCCATTGTACATCATTTTATTTTACTATGCTTTCCGACCAACGATTGTATGAAATATACGTATTAAAAAATCCATTCTCTTGTTTTACTTCTTTAATTCTATTATTCATAAATGCGATGATTAATGTCATATCCCGACGAGAATTATGAATGGTAACTGTTGGGATTCATCTATGGACCAATACGATACATATATTTTTATTGTATAACTATTAAGTAACTAAACCATTTATAAATTCACTTAGTATTGTTTGTTTGAATCTTTAGTACTGCAACTGATCAGTCTCTAATACTAAGTGAATTTAAACTTCACCCCAATGAACAAGCAAGTGACTATCAGTACTCAGTAGCTGAGTGCATAACGCAATGGTGTTTGACGCGCAAGGTATTGGGTTCGAGTCCCAGAGGGAAAATCAACAAGTCTGAGATGTAGGTACATCCAGCTGACGAGTCTCAAATAGAGCGAAACGCGCGTCCTGGATTCGACTGCTAGCCACTATCTATCTTTGTTTATAAACCATGTATATTCATATTCCTCTTATTGTAGGCTTTATTTTGACCTCTAGACTATTGTTATATGATTCACTGTTCTTAAGTTATGCTCAGTTTATTAAATTCATTCTCCACAATCACAGTCTCTTTTGGCTTGATCTTGTACAAATGTTATTTTCTATTTTTATGGTACGATGTGGTCTGTTTGACTTGTATATAAACGAAGTATGTTTAAAATACACGATTTATATCGCCGAGGCTTAGATTGGTGTTCTGGACTCAACAAGCAGGGCTAGACAGGAAGCAGGACCGATGAAGACTCTAGATTGCTCATACAGGTTTGTATGTCATATGTATGTTATATTGATTATATACGAGGATTGGTGGAATGTATATTTTGATGACAGTCATTCATACGAATCAATCGAAGTTAGATATCCTCGGGTCAAAAAATAAGTATGAATAACTTCTCAAATCAAACCAAGATAAAGTATGAATAATAACTAGTTACTGTGATACCGGTTTAGTAAATTTCAGTTTACAATAAGAACTGTACAATATGACACTACCTTTTTATTTATTTAACGATTAGTTAGTGCTTATAGAGTAATTTAAAATTCTAGTCATTTTCTTTTAGACTTATCAAAACATAGGCGTATAAAAGGTATTGTTTACTGTTTGGAATTTCATCATCTAAGTAAACATAATTATTTAATTATTTAATGAATATCTAAGTTTAGGCCGACTAATAAACTTTAATATTTCTTAGTATGAATATAACATGATTCACTTTAAGTTACTTTTCGGGTGTTTTATTTATTTAAACACATAACTGTTGGTACAAAGGGGCATCAGATACATATGTGTCTCACAAATCTCATTCGATTTATATAAGGGCTGTGATACTACCCAGGTGCCAAACTGAAGCAGGTGGTTTTCTTAGGGGGCCACACCCCAAGCCTTTGACCTAAAGGTTTGATCCACAAGGCAGTAGGGCGACGTAAGGAGATGCAGTCCTATGGTGGCCGGTGACCAACGATGGGTCTACACACCGTTTGTTCCTTCAGGATACTGGGGCCAGCCCATGTGCACCATTGGTTTGGAATCAGGGTTTTTCAACTCCCCTAGGTTGAATTACCGTGTCCACAAACCCGGTTAAAGCTCTGGACATTCGCTTTTCGTCTTCCCACTTTTGTAAACAACAGTAATGCCACGAGAAGGCAATGAGTAGGACTTCTTTGGTAGAGGCTATATACACGTTGCCATATGAGAGCATTTTGAGAGGGTGAGCGGACTCTCCCCACTCTCGACCGTACCAGGGCATTTGGGGGCTCTCACCTTTACAATTTGTAGGTGTGTGTGGATAAACGATACTGATATGAAATAATAATGTGCATATTTTAAGTTATGTGAGGTAAAAATGTGCACATTAACGTATAGCTTCAAGAGGAATTTTCAGCAGCTCTAGTGCAAGGCTGTAGCCAGTTGTATACATCCGTGTCGAGTTTAAGAAAGGTATCCACCAAAGATAATGAAAGGTTGTCACCCAATATTGTGGATTGATTCACGTTAGACGAATGCATAATTGGATTCCGGTCCAGTAGTCTAGAAGTTAGCTGTTCACGCATGAGACCGAAGGTCCTGGGTTCGATTTCTGTGAGGACCATAGATGCACACTTCTGAGGATTCCCATATTAGGACGACACAGACGTCAAGCACTTTTAAGTTTTCAATGGTTACTTAACATAGACTGCTTCATGATCTCAATAAAATTCAGGAATCTCCACAACCACTTTCTGATGAAGATAATAACATTTTGAATAACCGAACAGCCTTCATATGATCTAAATTTTGCTCTCATTTCAGAGAACTTCAAGTATGTTCCTCTGAACCTAGTTAGTATTGCATGTAACAATTAAAGTCACGAACCAGTATGGGGTTGTGGAGGTTTTTAAGCTTTTGATTGAGATCATGAATCGATGAATGCTGGAGCACCATTGAAAACTTGGTCTAAAGGTCAGATGTTTGCTCGCGAGACCAAAGGTTCTGGGTCCGAATCCCATACTAGGACAAAACGACCGTTCGGTGCTTCCAGGTTTTCAATAGTGGCCTAACATCCATTGATTCATGATCTCAATCAGAAGCTCAACTATGAAATCAAAAGAATCGAATCCCATTCTAAGGAATTGTTCATTAAACTATAGCAACTCTCCTACAATCAATTTCGATCATGGTTAAATTTTGGTTAAACCCTTTTATTAATTTATTTAACAAACAATGGTATTCGAACAGTAACAATTCGCATATTTCTTTGTACTTTTATGATCACTACCTTGTCTGTATAAACGTTTGGTCTTGATCACACATCAGCCTACTCACATATCTCTCTCTAGCTTAAATGTTGGTCACTTAAATATTAATCGATGGATCATTCTCTTTCCATGTATATAGTGCTCGAATCCTATTAATAATTGCCTTTGCTTTTCCTTACTGTACTCTTATTTGATTTGACTATAAGTTTGCCTCTGTATTTGCTTGCACACACACACATTCGCTTCCCTGCTTCAGATTCACTCGATATGCTTATAACTTTGTTGTCTGTACTATCCGCTAATAAACTGTAATTGCCACTTCTTGTTACCTTCTGATTTCAAGTACCATTGGGATTTATATAATGACAGTTATCAAGGCGTTATTCGGTTATTCAGTTCCACCGTCTAAGACATTATCGCTATGTCATATTACCTATGACGTTATGTAATAAAATACTTATGTACTCCTATTGGTTGTTAGAATTTTCTCTTAAGCTGTATTACACATTTGTCTATATCACTCTTCGTATATATATGACTGTGTTTTACCATACATTTTAAATGAGACTCAAAAAGTGATATTAGTTTACTTGAATTTATAAATCGTAAATTAAACAATGAAGGGTTAATTATTTCGACAAACAAGTTGAATCCATGATCCCGCCCCATGAGGTTCGAACCCACGACCTATCAGTCTCACGTGCGAACGCCTAACCTCTAGACTACTGAGCCGGCATCCATCAGCGTTACTGTCTAACTACAACCACTCCACAAAATCGAGCAACCATTGTCCTCAGTGAGTTAATATCTCACAAAAGACCCGGTTAAACTCCACTGGTCACTGCTTCTCACTAGGTTTTCTATGACGGTCTAGCTTCAATTGATTCATGATTTCAAATATAAAATTACTAAAATCTCCACAAAACCTCCTTTTGATAAAACAAGTTGAATAACAAATTTTCATAGTTGAAATCATGAGTCAATTGAAGCTAGAGAACCATGGAAAACCTGGAAGCACTGGACGGCCGTTTCGTTCTATTGTGGGACTCCTCAGATGTGCGCATCCACGACCTCGCCTCGTGAGACTCGAACCCAGGACCTACCAGTCTCGCACCAGAGCACTTAACCGATGGACCACTGAGCAGGATCGTGGATGCGCACTGCTGAGGAATCCCACAATAGGACGAGACGGCCGTCCGGTGCTTCCAGGTTTTCCTTGGTGATCTAGCTTCGATTGACTAATAGTTTCAATTATGGAAATACCAAAATCTCCACAAAACCCTTTCTGAATAACAAATTATTGTACTAAGAATAAGTTCTATGTTTGAACAGTTTCAAGATCATCTTCTGATATTTAACATTATCATACATGTTCTACATTCCTAGTTGAGTATTAAAACTTTTAGAAATAAAGTCTATCATATAAACATTAATTTATTGATATTTAATTCGATAATAAATGAAAAACTGTTTGTCAAATAGATGAATGTGATATGATTGTATTTATTAATCTATACTGTTAAGAGATTAGGGTGTGGTTCACCATGTAACTTGTACATCTACACGTTCTTGTGTATGTCATGAAACATATCGGTACATGGCACTTTTCATCATTGAATCAAAATACTTCAAATTTAAACAATAGATTATTGAGTTTTGAATAATAAAAGGTAAGGGTAATAATAATAATAATAGCAAGAGATGTACCGGAGAGAATTAAGCTAACATAGGTAATACAATCCGTTGACTACAAACTAGCATTTATTGATTGGTTGAGCGAAGAAATAGTAACAATAAGTTGAAAATGAATATATTCAGGAAATCAACACATTCTGAGACAAACTTAGATCATGGTTCGGCTAATGCGCTTTGTACGAAAGTCACTGTTGTAAGAAATTTAATTAACAGAAGTACGAATCTCGTTACAGATAAGAAAGACCGACAGGTTGAATTGAATAGAGTCTTGTCTACACTTAGGGATAACAACTACCCAAAGGAGTTTTTAAAGAAGATTATCAGCAATGAAAGGAAAACTAAACTTGAATGTATACTGAAAGATTGGAAGTTCACCGTATTCGTCTCATACCGTAGTGAAATATCGGAGGAAATCAAGCGGATTCTAAACAAGCATGATATAAGAGTGTATTTTCGGACGTGTGACACTATAAGGTTGGCATTAGTGAAAGTTAAGGATAGGTTACCTGTTATAATGCGAAATATAGCGTATTGCGATAGGACTACGCGAAATTCTACCGATTGACCAAATTCAGATATCCTAGTTCGACCCCAGTACTGTTCCCCAACTCCAATAAATCAGAACACAGCCGTTAAATGAGAATTGTTTATGGGGTCAGCAGCAGAACAACAATGGTTTACAGATAAGGCATATTTATACAGTTACGATGACTATTAACAGTAACCAATGGAAAAGAAGGACACGTAAAGGTTATAATTAGGACGACTCAAAATTGACCAATAGGGAAACGACACATGAAAGTCATAGTTAGGACACTGTAAATAATGGCCAATAGGAAATAACATGCGAATTATGTGAAGAGTCTGGAAACATACCATTTTACATTCGAGATAATTTTTGGGATATTCTTGTGAATATCCTAACACCTCCCCTTGGAAAAAATTAATAGCAACGCAATCGTGGGTTTACTTGAAAGTTTTTTGGTTTTCTGCGTTTGCGTCCCGACCTCCTTGGAGGTAACGACCGAGAACCGGAAGAATGTTCTGCCTGATTAGATGACTGAGTTGCCTCCGTTGTAGGTATTGGCGGAAGTTGGAAAGTATCCAGTAATAAATCGAGTGGGACGCGTTTCGTAACTTCAATTTTTTTCTTGGCTTCTCTTGGCCTTAGTTGATTATGGTGCCTGGTCCAGATTTCTCTGTTTACTCTGACCTCATACATGACCTTCCCCTGTCTCTTTGCGACTTCACCCTCTATCCATTTATCATACCCATGTCTATAGTCCCGCACATACACTTTTGCGCCAACTTCGTAAAGAATTCGGGTATTCTTCATGTGAGGACTCTGCTGGGCTACTCGCCTGGGTGTCATTGCATTATGAATTGTTCGTAGCTTCCGTCCCATAAGTACCTCCGAAGGGGATTTGAAGTTCGGCAATAAATCATGAGGAGTCGTCCGGTACACAATTAGAAATCGTTCTATAATATCGTGTGTTGTTCCCTCCCCTCTTGCCTTAAGCATGGCACGTTTGAATGTATCGACGAAGCGTTCAGCTTGTCCATTAGATTGCGGATGGTAGGGCGGAGAACGGACATGATTGATCGAGTTTTGCAAGCAAAATTCTCGAAACTGACTGGATGTGAACTGCGAACCATTGTCTGTTACTATTGTTTCTGGCAGACCATGCTGAGCGAAGATCTGGTTAAGGAGTTGGATGGTTCGAGTTGTAGAGGGTGGTGCAATCGGCAATATCTCCGGCCATTTGGAGAAGGAGTCGACCAGTATCAGATATATGGTACCATCTAGGGGTCCGGCAAAATCAATGTGCACTCGCGACCAGGGTTTTTCTGACTTGGGCCAGGGTACTGGTGGCAACTTAGGAGGATGTTTCGCAGCTGTCTGACAATGTGGACATGTTTTGACGAAGTCGACAATTTGCTTGTCCATGTTCGGCCAGTATGCGTAACTACGAGCGATAGATTTCATACGGTTTATCCCTGGATGACCAGCGTGAAATTGGCGTAGGACCTTGGCACGCAGGGTTGTTGGAATTACTACACGGTCACCAAACATCAGACAGTCATTGACAACACAAAGAGCGCTGCGACGATTCGCTAGGTGTAGCATCTCACCACTGAACTGCTTAACTGGCCATCGGCTCTGAACATAAGTGATTGCTTCCCGAATAATCGGGTCGTTTCTGGTAGCTTCTCGAACGTTTTCAGCCGTAACAGGCATAGCTCGCACGGCATTCGCCAATAGTGTTGCACCAGAATCATCTTCCGTTGCTATTGTGGCTATGAGTGTATCCTCATCAGTTGTAGAGTGCTTGCTGATAAGTCTGGACAATGCATCCGCTTGACCAAAATCTTCAGAACGTCGATACTGGATGTCGAAGTCGTAGCTCAGTAACGCCAACGCCCAACGTTGAAGACGATTAGCAGAATGAACAGGAATGCCTTTCTTTGATCCAAAAATTGACAACAGCGGCTTATGGTCTGTGAGCAAAGTGAAACGGCGCCCGTAAATGAATTTGTGGAATCGCCGGACAGCAAAAATCAGAGCTAAGGCTTCTTTCTTGATCTGACCATAACGTTTTTCAGCGGCTGTTAGTGTTCTCGAAGCATGCATCACTGCTTTCTCTGAACCATCGGGAAAAACATGCAGTAGTACGGCACCCAGTCCATGGGTTGAAGCGTCAGCAGCAACTACAATTGGTAGTTTCGGATTGTAGTGGGTTAACAGTAGTTTGGAGCTTAACATGGCTTTAAGTTTTGAAAAAGCTGATTCACATTGCGTGGACCAATTCCAAGTAGCATTCTTTTCTAGCAGATGATTTAATGGATATCGTACCTCATGTAGTGATGGTAGAAATGCTGAATAGTAGCTAACCATTCCCAAAAATGATCGCAGTGAAGAGACATCAGTGGGAGCAGGCATTTGCTGGATTGCGTGAGTATTTTGAGGATCAGGATGTCGTCCAGAAGCATCAAAGATAAACCCCAGGTATTTAACGGAGCGTAGAAAGAATTGGCATTTCTCTGAACGAAGGCGAAAACCATTATCTTGGAGGCGTTGTAGAACTAAATATGTTCTGGAATGCAGTTCATCAGCAGTTGAGCCGACAATGAGGACGTCGTCAAGATACGTAGCAACACCAGGAACATCTGCCAGAATAGTATCCATAATCTGCTGGAATATCGCTGGAGCAGTCTTGATACCAAAGGGTAATCGGGTATACTGGAAAAGACCTCGGTGAGTGTTGATTGTCAGCAATTCTCTCGATTCGCGAGCGACAGGAATTTGAAGGTAAGCATCCGCGAGATCTAGCTTAGCGAAGTAGGTACCACCATTTAAAATAGTAAACAAATCATCTGGGATCGGCAGCGGATAATGATGCTGTTGCAGCGCCGCGTTGAGTCCTGTAGAGAAGTCTGCACAGATGCGTATGGAACCATTAGACTTTTTGACAACCACAATTGGTGCAGCCCATGAAGAATAAGAAACAGGTACAAGGACACCTTCAGTTTCCAAACGTTGCAGTTCAGCGTCGACCAGAGGTAGGGATGCATATGGGACTGGACGTTTTGGACGGAAAACTGGCGTAGCTTCTTGCTGAAGTTTCAAAACAGCTTCAGTTGTGGAACAAAGACCAAGACCAGGCTGAAAGAGTTCAATGAATCGTTTTTGGAGGTCTGCAGCATGCTGTTGTGTAGTAGCAAGAGTTTTTACTTGATTACAGATAGTGCTGATAGGTAGATTGGCAAGACCAAGTTCTTCGAACCAATCTAAACCCAGAAGATTGAGAGGGGATTTGGTGATGTAGCACGTACCATTGAAGGTTGTACCTCTGAACGAAATACAGCAGTTAAGTTCACCATGAAGTCGGAGATGACCACCACATGCACTAACGGCTGTCTGCGAAGACGGTTTGATGGGAGGTTGACCCAAGGTTCGCCAAGTATCTTTCGACAGGATAGTGATATCTGATGCAGTGTCCAACTGCAATCGAACTGGTTGACCATTGATTGAGAGGGTTAGAAATTTGCGCCGCGTGGCGGCATGAGTGTGAAAGACTGCTGCTAAACTCCTTGATGAGGGAAGCTGCTTTTTAGTATAACGACGTTGCGTCTGTGCATTTCGACGCCTATTGGGTCGATGAGATTGACAAAAACCGCTTTTGTGACCAACTTTATGACAGCGATCGCACACCTGCTGTTTGAATGGACAAACTTTCACATAATGCCAGGCTCCACAGTGCCAACATGGAGAAGGGGGCTTCTTGTGAACCGGTACTCTGTGGGCGATTGGTGCGACCATTTCATGGGCTTTTAACATAGCATCGTATTGATGAGAGCTGAAAGCGGCATTGTTAGGACCTGCTAATTCAGGGATAGTGGGGTTTGAATCCACTACCGGGTATGTTTCTGAAACGGATAGTGCTGGACAACCGGGCGTCTCTTGAGAGTCTGCTGTTTCGTTTGAGTTGCGGCTGGTCGAGGATTCATGGAGGCTGTGATCATTTGCCAGCTCTGTGTGCAATTCAGAGATTAATACATCCACTTCCGACGCATATGCGAAGCATTGATGATCCAGAAACTGTGAGCGTAGTTTGACCATGAACTCCAAATGTCGGTCAAATAGCAACTGTAAGCGGTCAGAAGGGAGCGTCATTTTTCACTTTTGTCCCCGTCGCCAATTGTTATAATGCGAAATATAGCGTATTGCGATAGGACTACGCGAAATTCTACCGATTGACCAAATTCAGATATCCTAGTTCGACCCCAGTACTGTTCCCCAACTCCAATAAATCAGAACACAGCCGTTAAATGAGAATTGTTTATGGGGTCAGCAGCAGAACAACAATGGTTTACAGATAAGGCATATTTATACAGTTACGATGACTATTAACAGTAACCAATGGAAAAGAAGGACACGTAAAGGTTATAATTAGGACGACTCAAAATTGACCAATAGGGAAACGACACATGAAAGTCATAGTTAGGACACTGTAAATAATGGCCAATAGGAAATAACATGCGAATTATGTGAAGAGTCTGGAAACATACCATTTTACATTCGAGATAATTTTTGGGATATTCTTGTGAATATCCTAACATTACCAAAGGAAGAACAACAAAATATTGTCTATGAGATCAATTGTCATGATTGTAATGCAGCTTATGTGGGAGAAACATCCAGAAAATTGAATGTAAGGTTGAAGGAGAACAAACAGTGTTTGAAAAATGTTCCCGAAACCTCGGTTCACATAAGGAAACTTGAGAATAAGTCTGCGATAGCGTTCCATGCGTTAGAATAGGACACATGATTAATTTTGAAGGGACCAAAATACTTCAGAAAGGTTTTAACTCTCATAAAGAAAGATTGACAGCAGAAGCTCTGTATATACGAAAGAACAAGAACAGCCTGAACCGAAAGGATGGTATTCAACTAGCGACTACTTGGCAAATATTCATCGACAAGTAATTGAACCCATTCTCTATTCAACATGTTCATTTCACATGCATCCTTATTTCGACTGAAATTAATCTGGGATATTTTAGCAATACAATTATGTATTTGATGGTTTTCATTTTACATGTACATCGATGATTCAGAAACAATTTCAACCTTCAATAAATTAACATTTAATATCAACTATTAATAACTAAATATTGACCCATGTTATCCTATTTACTAAAGTCAACATCTTAGTAGGATTGGATTAGCACAGTATAGATTTGATTTGATTGTTAAACACTACACATTTCTTTGATAATATTGATTTCGATCATTACCTTGAAGAAGTCCAGATAAGTTTGATGGACGAAACGTTGGAATTATTTAAATTTCAATCGCTGAGATTATTTCAAATATAATGACTTCGCTATACTCAGGGCCCAAATTTTGTCAAGCTATTCGTTCTAATCTTAACGAATATTCGTATAGACGTACTTGTTGTTATTTATGTTTTCTATCATTGATTCGCTCAAAAGAACTCATCTAGTGGCTATCAGAACTCAGTAGCTAAATGGATGACGTGATGGCTTTTGAAGCCAATGGTACTTGGTTGGAGTCCCGGAGTGAATATCAACTCTAAGATGCAGGTATATCCAGCTGACGAGTCCCAAATAAGACGAAACGCGTGTGCTGAACTTCACTGCTAGGCAACATATACATATATACCATAAGCTCTATAGACTATTACTTTTTACATAAAAAGTCAGTTTAGTTTATTAGTGGTGTTTAGATAATTATTTTGTATAGAAGAAATAAGAATATTGAAAAATGATTTTTTATCATACATACTTCCATAGAATTCATTATAGACTCTTACATTAATCTAATAGTATCGTTCTGTAGCAGTTAGGAGACTTTACTCCATTTCATGAGCCTTTTTTCTTGATCATACAATAGTCCTACCGTTTTCAGTGAATTGTCATAGTTAATGTTTCATAGACGTATATGCAATAATTTATCGGAATCGTCAACATCAAGATAAAACGTTACTTCAATCCTTTTAAGAAGTTCTATGGAATCTAAGAATCATGATGACTGTTATAGAATTTTTGATAGAAATACAATCTTTCTGAATACTTTTATTCATATATAGGGTAAACATTGACAGGATTCTTAAAGAATAATTAATTTGTAGAGGATTCTAGTTTTATAGTAACCATTGGTTTCCTCAAAATTTCAACCAAAAAATGACGAATGATACTATAACCTGAGTAAAGGGATTCATGATAGTTGTCTCCAAGTATATAGAATAACATAGTTTCTATAAAAAAAATACTTTCCCCCAGTAACAATGAATTCATTGACTTGATTATTGAATTTTTCATATTTTATGCTGGCTATGGACATTTTCATTGAACTAAAATTTCAATTACATCAACAAATGATCAATTGAGTGATTGTTGTTTATTCATATTCTTTATGAAGAAATCTTGATAGGTACGTAAGTAAAACATCTTGTTACAAGTTTGAATGATCCATTAAATACTGAAATGGAAAAACAAAACAAAAGAAAAGCCAACTTATCCATTGAAAACCAACTATCCAAGTTGAATATTTTATTTTTTGTTGTGTCTTTTTCCAACAACTAATAATATATGTCCATAATCCTTTGATAAGTTGTTGGAAAGGAATGTAAGACTAAATGTACTAACCTAAGATTCTATTTCACTTATTTTCATAACATCAGGCACTTCCAGGTTTCCCATAGTGGTCTAGCATAGATTGACTCATGAATTCACCTAATAAACTTACTACAATCTCTACAAATCTTAATTTTGTTAAGTATTTTTTAATAGTTGAATTAATGCGTCAATTAAAGCTAGACCACCATGGAAAACCTCGTTTGCTAATACATTTTTTAGAAGCATTTACTACGGAAATGGTCTCGGTCGGCAAGCTGTTTGTGTCCGTGCAGCACTGTTGATAAAGCCATACGCAAACGTTTTTACTGAACCGTTTGTAAGCTTCAGGCATCAAATTCGTGCAAACTTCGTGGTGCCAGCCTTTGCACTCTTCGCGCTGCATGACGCTTAGAATGGAGTATTGGCAGCCCGAACGTTGGCAACTGTTTTTTTTGCACTGTCCAGCAATCTATTCGAAGTTTTCAGATACAAATTGGATAATATAGTGCCCAGAGACAAAAGTGATCTATGATCAAAAAAGTAGAACAAATGTAAATCGTTAGGAGCAAAAGTTCCAACACATACAATAGAAACAAAGTACTCAAAAGTACCGATGATAAACTACTTCAGAAACAAAAAAAAAAACGATACTCTTAGCTGATACTTTAACTGACGTGAATTCAATTAAAGTGTAAACATTAGTCTTGATACGTTCTGTTCTTTTAAATAGCAAACAGTTGTTATGATTTTTGTGTAACATCACTTATGTTTTAATTCAATGCAATGATTATTCAGTGTAGTATTTGTTTTGCAATGTGATGTTTGTTTCAGATACGATATTCTTGTATTAAATTAGCATAAACTATGCTTAGCAACATGTGATTATGTTATATCTCTGGGTGTTTTTTTTTATATATGTGGTTATATCTTAATTAATAATGAAAATAGATGGACAGTCAGTATGTAAATGAGTGTAATTTCGACTAAGGTCGTTAATGTGTTTTTGGTGTAATAAATCTACACTTGTACCAGTCTTGGTGTTTTTAATTCCCAGAGTGAGAATTATGGTGGTTCATCTTTTGTTTGTTTTTTTCAAGTATAAGTGACACAAATATAACACGTTCTTACAATGTGATTACATACCATAGACGATTAGAAAAGAAAATGAAGTTTTTCTAAGTCACTCATACTTCAGTATCCATTATTGAATCTTTACTGGTGAATCAATAACTTGAATTAATTTCATGCAATTAGTTCCCTTTATGAATAAGGCCAGAACAAATATTGATGCAAAATAACATGAATTCATTATATTTCGTGGTTTCTCATCGGCTGCTTACAACCAAATGGGCATTAGAAAAGGTTATCAATGATAACTATATATATAGGAAAAGGAAACACCTTACTGCTATCACACCTCTGTACAGTCGGCAGTACGAATTCGCCTTCAGACCTTGGGATTGCTGCTTTTAGTTTTACCGCTCTTCAACCGACCTGTCTGGCATGGTAGGACTTTAAGGAACGATTGTTCCAGCCATTATAGCTTGACTGGTTCATCACGATAGGCGAACCCGACCACCACGTCAAGGTAGCACCAAAGGTCGTGATATATATATATATATATATATATATATATATATATGGAAGGAAAAGTCATAGGTTATTAGGTATTAGAATGAATGAAACATAAAGGATGGGTGGCGTAATAGTTGAGTGGAGTACAGAGACAGATATGATAAAATGTGTGATAATTTTAGAGGTAATAAAGGATTCATGGAATTAAAAACAAATAGGATGGGTTACGTAATAATTGAATAGAATTTGGAGAGTTCATATACTTTAAGAGAGACAAGTGAGCGGAAATGTGTGAGAGAAATAGTGGTTTAAGAATTGGTTAATGGAAGAGTAATGTAATAAAAAGCTAAATATTAACCAAAATAAAACTAATGTCAAAAAATTAAAATAAAAAACTGGATTACCAGGGTAGTAATAAGTTTATTAATGTCTTGAATTAAATTGAGAAGAAACTGATGATTTCTTCATATCGATTTCAATGAAGATAATTATGGTTAAGAGAATGTTAGCTTAATCAACTGAATTATGTATGTATAACAAAAGGTTGTTCAGGGATAAGTATTCATAAATTGTTTTAATGAACATGAGACATTTTTGTTAAATAAATGCAAAAGATATTTGAATAATAGTACCTTATACTTTTAGAATACATACTTATCCTGTGATAATGCCCTGGTACGGCCGATAGTGGGAAGAGTCTGCTCCCCTCTCGAAATGCTTTCACATGGTCACGCATATATAGCCTCTACCAGGGAAGTCTTACTCACTACCTTCTCGTGGCATTTCTGTTGTTTATGAAATTGAGAGGACGAAAAGCGAATGTCCGGAGCTTTAATCGGGTTGGTGGACACTGCGAGTCCACCTAGGGGAGTTGGAAAACCCTGATTCCAAACCAATGGTGCACATGGGCTGGCTCCAGTATCCTGAGGGAACAAATGGCGTATGAATCAATCGTTGGTCACCGGCTACCATGGGACTACATCTCCTCACGATGCTCCACTGTCTTGTGGATCAGACCTTTAGGTCAAAGGCTCTGGGTGTGGCCCCCTGAGAAAACCACCTGCTTCAGTTTAGGCCCCTGGGCAATATCACAGCTCTCACACAAATCGAATGAGATTTGTGAGACACATATGTATCTGGTGCT